GGGGAGGGAGGTGGCGGCACCTGCAGGATGCTTGAATTTCACCTTTTTGCCCGTCCTTCTCTCCTCTGAACACCAAAGGGCTTTTACACTCCATTTCTGCTTGACGGTAATTTCCCACTCTTCCTTCCCTGTCCCATGAACTGCTGTGTCCCTTTCCTCTCCTCCGGAGGCAAATAAGCCCTGCGGTTTTGGTTTATTGGTAAAAGGCTGCAGGGAAAGAAACAGACAGATGATAATCAACCAGAGGGAAATTGGCTACTTGAAGCTAACATATTTTTTTTCTCCTTTCACACACATGTCCTTTGAATCTGAAGGGACAGCCTTTCCCATCCTCTATTCCAGCCATTCTGAACTTCTGTTGTCCATCCTGGTCAGGAGGGTACTTGATACAGAGGCTGATTCCAGGGCTGTTCTGATTCAGAAGGTCCAGGGCAGCACCTACAGTGGTCCCCGTGGCCACTCGTGGAGGAACTTCCACTTACTCCCACCCTCTACCGGGTCTCTCCCCCATCCTCCTCTGGCAGACGGCGAACCCGAGGAAATGAGGCGAGTCTGGACATATGAAAAGTTGCAGCGTTATGGTAAAGAGTGTTATTTTCGGACTTAGAGTGGGTTGTGGACCCTGATCTTACTTACGATCAATATCCTCAACTGTAAAACTGGGTGACCAAGGGTACCCTCTTGATTAGACTATGATGAGCATTGCCTGAAATAATCCATGGAGCACACTGCTTGGCACTCAGTGAGCCCTCGATAAAAATAAGCTATTCTCACTTCTAAGTACATGCAGCCTACCAGTAATATCTATTTTATTTCCCAGTTGTTCATAAGCCATCAGTTTCATAGACCCTTCCAGAAATGTGCCAGAAGTTAACACTCACTCACTGTTAAGAGAGTTTCTGGATCCCCCTTTTCCTCTCCCTTCACTGAAAGAACTCAGAGCAATGCTGACCATTCCTAATTTCTAACGTGACCCCTCCCTTTCCCACTGCCCTTGATTTCTGGAAGATTATGAACTGCTTCTGCTTTCACAGCTGCACTTCCTCTCAGGCCATTGGAATTTAATGCATCTGAGCCCAAAGACTTGAATCCAATTAAAGTAGTTAGACACTCTTTTCCTGCCCCATCTCATACCTTTATTCATTCGTTCAACAAACACTCTTGAGTAAGAGCATTATGCCAGTGCAGTGTTAGGTAAAGGATGTCAAAGCTTGTGGTCTAATGTCTTAAACATCATTCCCTTTGCCTGCCACTTGCTTCATCCTTTTTAGGTGACGGATGATTCCCCCTGCTGCGGAGAATGGGATCAAAGTTGGAGTTGAGCAGATTTGCTTCCTCTTTGTACCCTGATCATTTTACATCATTTCTTCCAACCAGACTTGTCTTGTCCTTCCGCTCAATCTAAGCAGAGCCTTAAAAGCTGCTCCTGATGAGTTCAGCATTTCCCCAACCCTCTGCTCCTCTCCAGTCCTATTTCTTCATGTAGCCCCACTTCCATGTTTTATTTATGATGTGAACCTGTGTCCTGGGAAAGCTTCTGTGCCGCCCTTCTGGTTTCCCTTTCCTCTCTCACTGTGAAGGGTATTAGGGTAAGCCTGTTTTTGCTGCAGTAACAAACACCACCCATGTCTTAGAGCAACAACAAACAATGGCTTAATTCTTGTTCACTTGGCCAATAATGACTCGGCAAAACGGGCTGACAAAGGCTCATTGTCCTGTACTGCATCACCGGGACAGTGTGGCCTTCTGGTTATTGAGGTGGGGGAGGAGAGCATCTGAGGGCCTCACGCCAGCAGGCAGGTGCAGCAGTAGGGTGTGATGCATGCACGTCACTTCCATTCACATCACTTCCATTCACAAACTAATGACCAGAACTTGCCACATGGCTCCGTCTAACAGCATGGGGTTGAGAGAGTGGGGGTGGGGAAGTGAGTACCAGGAAGGAAAAGAGCATTTATGGGTGAACACAAGAAGTTCATACCACAGGCTGACTCACAATCACACGATTAGAGTTTCATTTTTCAGACCCTCCCAGTCCTTAAGCCACTGGAACTCTTGGGATCCCTTGACCCTAGCATCACACCTATTTCTTGCCTACTCTCCTTTTCGAAAAGCTGTGTTCTACGTCCAGTTACTCCCAGCCTTTCCCTTCTTCACTCCTTATTCTCATGGTGAGATTCCTTGGTGAGAAACTCTAGGTGTTCTGAATTTATTCCCGAATATCCTGCTGAGACACCTGAGAAAAATCTGATCTGAGCAAGATGGTCCTGATGGGGATGATTAGAAGACAGGAATGAGGGGGCTAGAAAGAGAAGTGAAGCAGGTGGCCAAGATGTGAAGGCTTCTGCTGAAGGATGGGGAGAGAGCAGACCAGGGGAAGGAAAGTGTCACACCGGAGCCTTGCCTAGATGCTCAGAGTGGTGCCTGCCCCAGCGGCCCCTGCATCACCTGGCTCTCAGCCCCGCCCCACACCTGCAGGGCTGGAATCTGCATTTTTAACTAGATTCCCCAGGGGCTCCACGTGCACAGTGCAGTTTGAGAAGCCCTGCATCACCGCACTTCAGAGCACACCTGTTGGGAGGGAAGATCTGGAGATCTTTGGAACTCAGTGAGAACGTCCAGACAGAATTCAGCCAACCCATCCCTCAAAAACAACGAGGTATTAAACAGTCACAGGGTACAGAGGCTGCCAGCGGTGGTGGTGTAATGTACATATTCTCAGCAGCAAAACACAATGAATTTAAAACCAAGGAGGGAGGAGATTCTGAAGAGTTTTTACCAGGTAAGGAAAACCAAGAGGAATCACGTAACACGTTATCGGTGCTGCTATGACATGTGCCAGATGTTACTGACATTCTCCTCACTTAGTATCGCATTTTAGTAAAAGCGCAAGTACTGGAATGGCTTCTCAAGGTCTCCTTGCATCTTCAGCCTTTCCGTGCTCATTTCCGTAAGTATAAATTCCCACTGGAGTGTCAGGATCAGACTATCCCTCTCGCCCCCGCTCACTGAAGATGAAGAGATGACAGCATTTGGTTTTGTCACTTTCAAATTCCCAGCCTTCTTAACTGTCAACTCCCCACGTCTCCTTTCTCTAGACTGTATGGGTGGCCCTTGTCCCAGTACCATTGCCCTTCTTCATTTTAGGAGGTCACAACCCCAAATTTACAAACTATTCTTCACTCTCACATTGGGTGAGTCATTTTCCAATGGCGTCTAGAGTCACCGGAGCTGGGGGCAACTTGGGAACAAGTCCCAAATGAACAGATGAAAGGCAAACCGATTTCCTGCAAAGGAAGGGCTGTTCCCTGCACTTCTGATATGCCAGGCTTGTTCACTCTTTGGTTTGAAGAACGACTTTATACTGTCATGGATCTAGATATAAATATAGACACAGATACAGATATTTGTTTATTTATTCATACACAGATAGAGAACATGTTCCCCACCATGTGGAAAAACCCAGCGCTCAGTGAAATTGACACCAACACACCAAAAGATGCGGAGCAGAACAACGGAAAGTTCCTTCAGCATT